CACTCAAATTTTGAAGTTCTGAAATTATAATTACAGTATTTTTTTAAATTTCACTGCAGTGTACACCATTAAGCAGGCTGTTTTCACACAATGAACAGGATGTTTTGCTTTAGCTTCCATGATCTAAAAGTACCATGTTAGACAAGTATGTTACCTACCTTGTTATTAAATGTTCCTTGAAAAGCAAAATAAAATAAAATAAAATAAAATAAAATAAAATAAAATAAAAGTATTTAGGAGGTCAGAGGAGTCAAGGATGGAATGCAGACAGTGACCAAAAAGATCTAACAGTATTAAAAATGTGTAGAATTTTCTCACTGAAGAGGTTGGGAGAAAAGGTGCTGGTGTAAGCAAGTTTATACATGAGTGGAACCTGTAAGGCTAAAATTAAAAAGAACTGTGCATAAGCACTGTATTCTAGTTAGTAAAACTATTTTCCATAGGGTACAGTTGACAATTCTGAAATCACCATACACATATACTACAGTTGAAAAATGGTTGCTGGTGAGAGATATTTTTTTTTTTTCATTGTTAAAAGCTCTGAACTGTCAGCACAGAGCCCATCACAGGGCTTGAACCCACAAACCGTGAGATCATGACCCAGGCTAAAGTTAGATGCTCACCCGACTGAGTCACCCAGGCACCCCAGTCTGTCCCTATCTTATGAGAACTTTTCTGCGGTATAATAAAGACTGATCATTGAATAACTAATGTTACAATTTATCAACATTAAGATTGTGATTAATTCCCTTATTTGGGGACTAGAGCAGTAACCTATGTGTTGTTGACTGAAACTAAGAAAGATAAGTAGAAACCACAGAGGAACTGAACACTCAAAGAGAAGAATTAAACTGAATAAAAGTATAAAATATGCAAAGATGCAATGTTAAGCATTTTAAGTATTACCTAGAGAATTCCAGGATACACAACCACAGAATATTCTTTCAGTAAGGGGACTAGTAACATGATATAGTTAAATAATAGAATACTTTAATTATCGGGGCGCCTGGGTGGCGGCATGATTCAGTGCTTGCGACTTCAGCACCAGGTCACGATCTCAGCGGCAGCTCCCGAGATTGAGCCTTGGCGTGAGACTCTGGGCTGATGGCTCAGAGCCTGGAGCCTGTTTCCGATTCTGTGTCTCCCTCTCTCTCCGTCGGGCTCTGGGCTGATGGCTCAGAGCCTGGAGCTTGTTTCGGTTTTGTGTCTCCTCTCTCCTTCCTCCCCCGCTCGCATGCTCTGTCTCTCTCTGTCCCCAAAATAAATAAACGTTGAAAAAAAAAATTAAAAAAAAAAAAAAAAAAAGAATACTTTAATTATCTAGAAATAATTTCAAACTGCCTACGGTAATATTGCCAGAAGTTCATAATAATGCAGAAATAATTCCACTAAAAAAAAAAAAATCAAATTTGCACAAGGAAAATCCAAGGTTGAAAAAATCACCTGGTTTTAGAGTTAATTTTTTTCTAACACCTCCTGTAACTAATCTTTTCCAAATGAAGAAAGTATATATTTTATATATGCCTGCCATAAGTAGTCGAAAAGCAAAAGTACCTATAAAGTAACAAATATAAGAGTAGCCTTCCTTTTTAAAAATACATCCTCAGGTATAGTCTCACTTTCTTCTCAACAACCACATTTTGAGTCATATTTTCTCCTACTCCCATTTTACAGATCAGTAAATGGACCCTGAGGAAAGTTAAGATTCACTAGATCTCATTTCACAAATATTTATTGTGAAACTACTATGTGCTATGCACTGTGCTAGGAGAGCTCTGTGTCCATTGCTAAATAATCTTGATAGAGTCCCCACCACTGTACAGCTTACAGGCCACAGGGAGATTTCAAGATGAAGATGGCACAGAGGGTCAGTGGCTTGTCTGACAAGTAAAACTCAACTCTAGGCTTCCTCAGTTTTATCATTTTGTAGATCACCGTGACAGATTAGTACCTGCCAAATGATGGCAGCTTTATGTCTCATGTGGTCTCCAGGGGAGGAATCTGCTTCTAAAGACTTTAACATGTGGGGATTTACCCTTCTGAAGGGCGACTGGCAAAGTGAGGACTGTTGCCCAGAAAATGCTATTTTTTTTTAATCTTTAAAAAATAGATTTTAAACTTTATTTACTTTGAGAAAGAGTGGGGGAGGGGCAGAGAGAGAGAAAGAGAGAGGGAGAATCCCAGCCAGGCTCTATGCTCAGCGTGGACCCCAACACAGGGCTCAAACTCAAAAGCCATGAGATCATGACCTGAGCCAACATCAAGAGTCAGTCGCTTAACCGACTGAGCCACCCAAGTGCCCCCAGCAAATGCTATCTTATACTTTTATCTTTATCTTTCTTTCCTCCACCAATGGCATCCAGGCAGTGAGGGCAACGGTTTAGGTTTATTATTTACAGACAACTAACTTAGCCAGTCTTTACAAAATAACAGACAGGTGAATGTGGTTACTGCAATCATTCCCTTAAATCCTAAAATGAGAATGAATAAAAGCATTTACAAGAACACATTTTTTATAATGGTGTTTTGAAGCTCATTTTTTTTTCTTCATTTTAAAGCATATATTGAAGTTATAGCAACTCATTTGATCTTTAAAATAAACATTTTGGGATAAAAGATTTTCTCTTGATAAAAAGTTGACCTTTGGAACAAATGTCTACATTTATAAAAGAAAGTAAGCTATTGACAGACTGCATGTATTTTAAGCACTCATTTAGCCTATCCATTATTCCAAATAACTGGTTTGATTTATTTCATTAATATTTGGCTGGTCAATTCGATCAAAATGGTTGAACTACTTCTGAGGTGAAAAGCCAGAAATGGTGTCATTGACTTATTCATGTTCACGAGTGTATGGTAAACAACTGAAAATGGGCTTCATGAACCTTTCACAAACCAGAGAATTAAGTGTCCACACGGGAGAAGTGGTTTGAAAATCAAAGCACAGCCAAGCAAAAAAATGTGTTTTGATTTTTAAGTGCAAAGTCCAAATTTGTTTTTAGTTTGCCTCTGAACCTCTTTCAGAGTTTTCCTCCTAAAACTCTTCCTTCCCCTGTGGGATCAAACAGAACAGTGTTTTGACATCTTAAGTCATTTCCATAACAACAGATTACAGAAACAAGACAAGCAGTCAAACAAGTAAAATGGTTTGAATTTGGAAACTGTTCTGGATCTCTATAATGAATGACATGGAATTGTATCCTTCCTGTGGAGAGAAAAACCGTGGATCTTTTTGGCTGTTTTGATAATCTGTTGAAGGAAAACCACTAAGACTTTTAAATGTAATCTTATCATGCTTTTCAAAATGTTGTTTCTTATATTTTGATACATTTTAATTTTTTTCACCTTTTCCTTCTTCCTTCCATTCCATTCCCTTGCGTTTCCTGCTAAATTTGTCAGGTGGGATGTGAATGTTAAATTATCAGGATTGATGTGTCAATATCGCCAAGAGGAAAAGGAGCCAATACATCATCCTAGCAGTCATCGCCCCCATTAAAAAAAAATCTTCTATTGAAAACAGCTGTTTTATTATGCAAAAACTTTACTAAGATAACTGGCTATTTGCATTCTGTTTTGTTTTGTTTTCTGGGGTTTTTTGGTTGTTGATTGTTTTTAAGTTTTTATTTAAATCCAGTGAGTCAACATACAGTGTAATATTAGTTTCAGTTGTACAATATAGTGACTCAGCTCTCCATACAACAGCCTTTACTCATCACAAGTCCACTCCTTAATCCCAATCACCTATTTAACCCCCCCACCCCCCACTCACCTCCCTTCTGGTAACCGTCCATTTGTTCTCTGTAGCATTTTTAAAATAAATTCAATGTAA